TGTTGTCATTGTCGTGTGTCGTTGTCGTTGTCGCGTGCCGCTGCTGGGCGCTCGTCGCCGTTCTGTGTTGGCATTGGCGGTGGTGGGCGCTCGTTCGTCGTTGTCGCGTATCGTCGTGCTGGCGTGTCGTCGTTGTCGCGTGTCGTTGTCGTTGTCGCGTGTCGTCATGCTCGCGTGTCATCGTTGTCATCGTTCTCGCACGTCGTTGTCGCGTGCTGCTGGCACCTGTCGTGGTGAGAACTGGGCATTGGGGTGGTGGGCATACGTACCCTTGGCCCATGACGTTGCCACGTCATGGGCGTTGTCCCTCGTTCTTGGCCTGTCATTCCGCGTTGGCGTGGGCGTTGTTGGCGTGGGCGTGGGTGTTGTTGGTGTGGGCATGGGTGTTGTTGGCGTGAGCGGCGTTGGCGTTGGCGGTGTTAGAGGACAGTGGTGGTGGTGGAAGGGAAAGGGATGGTCACGGATGTGTGACCATGCCGCAAACAGGATACGTGACGATATGGCACGCCCTCAAGTAGTCACGTGATCTCACCCCGCAGACTGAACAAAATCATGAATCCTTATTGCAGCTATCACTACCTATACTAATATCTATAACATTACCTTTCTATTCATTGATCAATAGAATTATAAGTCTGTATAGTCTATTTCGCTTTTTTTGTAGTATTAATAATAATAAGTAATAAGCAATAATGCACTGGAATCACTGGAATCCACTGGACTCCAGTGGATTCTGACTGGACTCATAGTCCACTGGACTGGACTGGACTGGACTTGAGTCCAGTGGACTGGGGATTGTGCAAGCCAATTTGGCCTGATAAATGGGCCACTGGAATCCACTGGACTCCACTGGACTCCACTGGAATCCACATGGATTACGTGGGGGATGGTAAAGACCTCGATTTTCTGACATACACTGTGTAGTGTCTTTGACTATGTTAAGGTTCATGGGGATATGGTTGAAGGATTGACATATATACATTGTTGCATCATTGGTTTTGGTATCATGCTCAACCTGTCTTTTGCATTAGGACAGTTGTCCTCTCTTTTTAATCAGAAGCCACCATCCTATCTTTGGACTGGTATTCACATAGTAGCCACTGTTGTATTTGACTATAGTTATTGTTGAAAGTGACTTCTCTGAAAATTATGAATTGTATGTGATACCTGGCAGCCTATCCATGCTTTTCATAGCATGATCCCTTGACACCTTCCAACCTTTCATCATTCAATCTTAGCTCATTCAGAAGGACTGATAGGTGAAGGATAAGGGGCAATTGGGTCATGTCTCTTTCTCAATCTTCATTGAGGAGTCATGTGAGAAAGACAATCTTGAAATTGGTAAGGCTTTTTCATCATGGACTAATGAATCAGAGTTAAGTATAGTTTGAGAGAGGAGAGTAACTATTAACATGAAAGGATAGAATAGGCTCTACTTCTGTCAAAGACGAGTTGAGCATGATACAAAACCACTGATGCAGCAATAGATAGATGGGTGTCAAGCCAACTCAATCCTTCAGCCATATCCCCATGAACCTTAACATACACCACTATTTGGGCCAGATGTGGAAGCCACCTGGGCCATGCAGCGTCTCCTCAACATTTTCCCACATTGTCACCAGTGTGACGGATTGTGGCCACCAGCTCAAAATCGAACTAATAGGGTTCTGCCGCCAGCCTAGCTGGCACAAACCTGTCAGGTCCAGCCAATTTCCAGCTGACCGCTCTGGCTATTAGCAGGCAGACAGGATAGGTTGTCGTTAGTGACTTACTTTGGCAGGGTTTGGACAAACAAATGGCGAGGGCAGCAACCCCCATAGTGGTGATAACTTACCAAGCAAGAGAGCTCCACGTGGCAGGCGAGGGAACATCGTACATGATGCCGGAGTTGGTCGGGTGGTGTTGATGTCGCAGCTAGTTGGCGTTGACCCATGCATGGCTGGTGTGGGGGATGTGGGCAGTCAACGTGTCCGAGCGTGTTGTTGGCAGTGCTTGACCCCATCCACTCTTTGTCAGTCATATGTGTTGAGTGTTGGCATGTGTGTTGGGCGTTGGCGAAACTGGAGACAGCAGAGATGGCATGATGCGGTCAGAAACGATGATGGAGCAGTGAAGTTGTTGCGAGGTTGTTGTTGCATGACAAGGGAGGCAATGGATTGTTGACGACAGTTTATGCTCTTTTTGAAGCTGCGGAGTATGAATATATTTCCCACACGTATCTCTCTCTGTTCGTCTGGACAACTTCTGCTGTAAGGCATTTTATTGTTACGAAGGGGTATGAGAAATTATAAAGTTAATGCATTAAGAGCTACTAGTTACTATGGACTTTAAACAAATGTGGTACTTTAGTGAGATATGTAGGTATCATGATTTCAGTGGGTGAAGCTGGTGAGTAGATTTAGACGAGGGCTGGTGCCCCGAAATCAAACTCCTTGTCACGAGTCCACCCTCGATCCCTCTAACTCAATCCCATCAAAGGAAGGAAGAAGCTGCCTGTAGGCTGTCAATGGCAGGCTGGACAGCTGGCAGCTTGCTTCATCTTCTCTGGCTAGATCCTTCTTGTAGATTACTTTTGGCGTTCGCATAGCCTTATTTGATGCAGAGTTTCAGCATTGCTTGACCGTTCTGAAGTGCTTGTGTTCAGTACTGACGAAATGGGCACAGAGGGCGCCATAGGTCGAAGTAAAAAATGAGGGTATGTGGATAAGTACGCACCACACAAATTGTCACCCTTGCCTTGTCCTACATCCCAGCGACGAAGTAACACCAAATGACATTGATGCCCGTCACCACATGCCTGACAGTGACATGAAGAGGTAAGAGTGCGAGCGGAAGTAACCACTATTTGTTGCTACATGTTTCTGCTCTAGATTGGGCGCTGAAGCGCTGACTAATGATGGCCTCCAACTTCCCGAAGCACCCGATGCAACCCCGAAGGTCAGCTTCTGGCTTCTTCAGGCGGCTGCTTCTAAGAACTCCTTCATTTGATGGGATCAAGTTAGAGTCATCAACCCTCCCCTCTCCTCGTCACCAGCTGGGATCCGACAGGCTGCCCAACAGCTGTCAATTGTGTAGCTGACAGGGGAGCGGTTTGATGCCGATCAGGAATTTCGGCATTCTGCCATCACCCTGGGGCCCAAATGGTGGTGTAGTCAAAGACACTACACAGTGTATGTCAGAAAATCAGACTTACAAACTTTTGTAATTTCAGAAAGCAGACACTCCAAACTTTTGTAGGTTCAAAAAGTGGACGCTACAAATTGTTGTAGTCTCAAAAAAGCAGACACTACAACTTTTGTAGTCTTGAAAAGCAGACAATACAAACTTTTGTAGTCTCAAATAGCAGACACTACAAACTTTTGTAGTCCAAAAAAAGGGGACACTACAACTTTTGTAGTCTCAAATAGCAGACAATAGAAACTTTTGTAGTCTAAAAAAAGGGGACACTAGAAACTTCTGTAGTCTAACCAAAGGGGACACTAGAAACTTATGTTAGTAAAATTTGTAGTCTATTTCCGACATTTTGTAGTCTTTTGTAGTCTTTTAGTAAATTGTATAGTCTATTAGTAAACTTTAAACTTTGTAAGGTATGTCCAACTTTTGTAGTCTTTTGTAGTCTATCAGTGGTCTATCAGTGGTCCTTATAGTCTATGTCAGACTTTTTGTAGCCTTTTGCAGGCTATCCATGTATTTAGGTAAAATTGGAGATATATAAGCCCCAGAATATATACAATATAGATATACACCCTGACATTTAGTCCTGTAGTATTCATGGAGTTTGCAAGACTAATAGTCAGTTGTCAGTGGGTGACTGAAGTGCTTATAGAAAGGAGAACTCTCATCTCACTTGTGAGTTATCAGCTATAAGGGAATCTAAAAATAGATGCATGAGCTGTAGCAGGTGTTCTGTGAGTAATAAGTTCTAATATGATGAGTCACCAACTCTGTGTATCCCAGCAGTCTCTTGTCATCAAGATCAGATAACAATGTCAAAGGTGTGAGGATCCTCTCCTGTGAAGGAGATGGTCTATGATCACACTCAAGTGAGGATTGATGTTACAACAGAAATCCGATGCTACAATCCTAGCAACTCTCCAGGAAATCCATGGAAAGTCAAGTGACAGACGTATGGATTGGGGATGAGATTGCAATCTGATGAGCTAACACTTCTCCTTATGCAGAAGACTGTTAGTGATCAACTCAGAACAACACTACTTACCTCAGATGGTGAAAGTATGGTAGCATGCTTCTTTCAGAAGCTGATAAAGAATAGGATGATGATACTATTGTACATGTGTGTGGTTTACCCAAGTGGCATGTGACTGTGAGGAAAGCACTCATGTTCTGTTAGTGGAAGGTAAGTAGACAGGGTGTGAATTCTTCAGAGGATATGATCACTTGGCTCGTTCGTTTGAAGAAATTCTCACTTTCAAGATATTGAGGGTAGCAGTTATTCGCACAGATGCAGCAGGCATAGCTCATTGAGAAGACCATGACACGCGGGAGTGAGGAAAGTGCAATCAGATGCACTGACAAGATGCGTGAACACCTAAACAACACACACACACACACTACACCTTAAACACTTATCACCACAGATTCGTGCTCGGTACTTCGAGTTCAGGTTCATACAGTAAATAGAATTACCACACTTGTTTTGTTAGAACTTAAGTAGAAGTTCAGGGAAACAATTTTGTATATTTTATATCACTTGTCTAAGTTTAGTAGACCTTTTGGAACAAATGGTATTGTTTTTTTTGTCCAGGCATAAGTATAGAATTCGAAACTTAATAGTCTCCGAAGGGAAACAGCTTTTATGGGGACTATCTCGGTGTTCTGGGATTGTGTTCTAACTGTATATGAAGGAATGACAAGGAAACTGTGCTTTGTAGACTTTTATAACTCCCTTGAGCTTTTGTTATGCCTCTGATTCGATCCAAACTAGTCTTAAAGACTCTTCGAGCACACTCACTTGGATTCCTCGGTAATAGTAGAGAGCTCTCTGACTAATTGATGAGACAACCTTACAAAAGCTTAGTGATCCCCACTTAACATGCTGGTTCCGGGCACACATTACTTATGTCTGTGAAGAAAATGTCCTTTAATTGATTACACACTTATCCACTACCTCAGATGCTACTGGGAGTGTGACAGCTGGTCAACGCAGGGGATAATTCCTTGTGTTTCAGCCTGTGCACATCCTCCTTTTATACTATTCTATGTTTTCTACAGTACTTATCAGTCCCCCACAGAATCCTGCAGGACTCACAGGATTCCTGAGGATTCCTGCAGGACTACACCATAATTTTGGCAAATTTGAGATTTAGGAGAAAAATTCTGTCAAGTCCTCAGGATTCCTCAGGACTACATGACATTTAACCATGTGTGACATGTTTAAACACTTCCTCTAACTTCCTTAATGAATTTAACTCTATTTCCATCCTTAAAGCATTCAGATATCAATACATAGTAGAATTTTATTCTATTTTAAATGAGATGAAAATTACTTTACAAGTATACTAAAGGGAGGGGGGAAGGAGGGACAGACAGGAAGGGGGGTACAGACAGGGGTGGGAAGGAGGACAGGAAAGGGAGATCAGACAGGAAGGGAGATAGAGAGGAAGGGGGGACAGACAGAATGGGGACAGACAGAAATGGGGACAGACAGGGAGGGGGGACAGACAGGGAGGGGGGACAGACAGGGAGGGGGGACAGACAGGGAGGAAGGACAGATAGGGAGGGGGGACAGAGAGGGAGGAAGGACAGAGAGGGAGGAAGGACAGAAATGGAGGGAGGACATACTGGGGGTGGGCACTCATTGCCGCTTGTCGGTGGCAGCCTCATTCGCCGTTTGTCGGCAGTGGTGGGGGGGTCGTGTCTGTCTGTGGGTGCTCGTTGTCCGCGGGTGCTCGTTGTCCGCAGGTGCTCGTTGTCCGCGGGCACTCGTTGTCCGTGGGCACTCGTCGTTTGTGGGTGGGGGGTCATCGTCGTCGTCCATGCATGGGCATCGTCATCCGTGTGTGGGCATCATCATCCGTGTGCACTTGTGGGTGGTTGTTGTCTGTGGGCATTTGTCATTTGTCCGTGGGTGGGGGGACTGTTGTTGTCCGTGGGCACTCGTTGTTCGTGGGTGGTGGCGGAAGGTGGTGGGGTCCCATTCATTGTCAAAAAAGTTGCTGTCGACATGGCATACCCAGATGGGCATGCCACATCAGCCATTTGGTGGTGGCACCGTTTCCTCATCGGTGTCGGTGTGTGGGTTGTCGTGGTGGTGTGTGGTGGTGGTGGAACATGGTGGTGGGGTTGTCGTCCCTGGTCATGGGGTCATGGGCATTCATCGTCGAGAAAATCACTGTCGACATGGCACACCCAGATGGGGTGTGCCACGTCAGCTGTTTGGTGGTGGCGCCGTTTGTTGGGCACCACCATTGTTGTTGTTGTTGTTGTCGGGGTTGATGTCGTTGTCATTGTCATTGTCGTCTGTTGTGTGGTGGTCGTGGTGGTCGTGGTGGGCAAGGTTGTGGGTGGTGAGGAAAGAGAGAGATGAGGTGACGTGTCACATATGAGAACCATCATCAACAAACATGTGCACAGGATGCATCACGTCACATGATGTATCCAAGCACATGCTCATGGGTCATGTGACTCATCAAATGCCTCATTCCTGGGACTAGTCCTGTCTGAAAATCCTCAGGAATCACCCCCCAGGACTCAAAAATTGGCTGGCACATCAGCCAATATAGAGTCCTGGTAATCCTCAGGAATTCTCAGGAATCCTGCAGGAATCAGTGGGGGACAATAAAGACCTCCTTTTCTATTTATATTTACACGTCCGTGCATTGTCTGAGAGGTCAGACAAATTAATACTGATTTTTAGTAAAGGTTTGAAGTGGCTCAGTTGTGCGTGGCACAACTGAGCTGACTTCTTTTAAGTTTTCATAGTGTTTGCTCTATTGTGGTGACGCAACACATCAGTATTGATGCATATGCAGAAATAGCTGTAAACAGTTTTCACGATCAGTTCAGCCAAGGTGAATGGTCCGCTTAGTGATTTTCTCTCTATTATTAGATACTATGCATGGGTCTTGGACCGCACAGCAAATCATTCATATTTTATCTCTTGGGAGGAGGCTCTGGAATATTCCTCAAGGCCGAACACTCCAGGTTCAATGATGCCATGATGAGTGATGCATGTGATGCATATCACCACATGACTTCTTTGATCATGCTTCGTAGCACATGACTAGTTGGCTTCTTGCATCGGGAACGCATCAGGCTATACGCTCGCGCATTACTCATCGAATTACATTGTTTAATCCATGTTAGAAATAAACCCTAGTTTGGTGTAAGCTCCAACACCCTGTGCTGAGGTGTGTTTACTCTAGAACACCTTTATAGTGAACTATTTCATGGTAGTGTAGTCTTTTTAATAGGCTTCGAGTATATTGAAGTGGTCCAATCATGTGCCGACCACAATTCCTACTGCCTTAAGATGCGCACATTTCTTGGATGAAGACGTTAATCGACTAGATCGGGCTGTATCTAATGATCCTCATGATCAAAGTGATTGTATTTACTTATAGTAGGTTTTATTAGAGAAAATGTGTAAATTCGCAATTTTATGGGTGTATTCTTACACTCCGTATCATCATGTCATTTGGGAGAGATGACAGTGGAGTGGTCATGGTAAAAGCTACCAAAGACGAGAGATTGTCGTTTTGCCGGAGTGTGACACCACTTTTGGAAGGAGTGTGTAATTGCACTAAGGTGGGTCTCGGAACAACGTGGGTGGTCTGATGATCTGTTGTCTCATCTTCAGACAGTGTTGTCAAGGAAGAGGAATCAATGGTCAGCCGAATAGCATGGTTACCCTCGAGAGCTGCAAGATTTCGTGCTAATGAGGTTTCTGGGATGGTAGCAGATTGGCTGACTGGGTTGACGGCCGGTTCGTCTTTACACAATTGAGGGCTTGTATAGGTGATAGGATGTTGACGGAATGGAAGTTTCTCAGGGATTATGACCATTTGACTCGACAGCGAGAGGGGGCTTTCAAGGGCCTGTTGCTGGCAGTTCCTCATGTGACTACTGCAGGCATAGCTCAAGTAGGATTTGAGGGATCGTTTTGACGCTGTCAAGGTTATCGGAGGCGTGGAACCAATGTCTGTCATAGCCGTGTGGTCACTCTCGAAGGCTGCAGGTAATCGTGCTATCGAGAGCACAGAAGAAGCAGAGTTATCTTCTGTCCTCGCTAGGTTGTTTCCTTCGAGAGCAGAGAGTACTCACACTAATGTAGGTACATGAGAAGTGGAATCATCATCCATCATAGCTGAGCTGTTGCCCTCAAAAGCTGCAGGTATTTGCGCTATCAAGGGTATGGGGCTACTATGAGTGGGGGAATTGACTTCAGTGTCAGGTTCGTCTGTCATCAGCATTCCCTTCCCCTTTTTCCTAGTCCTTGTCAGCACTATGATTTCGCAACTGGTAGAGTGGTTGATGTTGCGGAATTCCATTCTGTGGCAGTTGTTGTCGGAAGGGTAGATTGTCTGTTTCATCAAATAAGGTAACAAAGCAGTCTGCCAGTTGCCTGGTTTAAATGGTGGTGATTGGTGATTAGGGCAATGTCGGGATGGGGATTCCTCAGGGGATATCATCATTAAGATCATCTGCGAGGGTGGATTCCGACTTTCAAAGTTCTGACAAAGGCAGTTCTTCATGCAACTGCAGTGGGCATAGCTTGTATTGGTTGGGAGAGATTGTTTTTTAAATGTTGACAGGGCTGTCGTTAACGTAGAGTCATCGTCTGTCGTAACTGAGTTGTTACCCTCAAGAGTGGCAGGCATACACACTAACGTGGACAGGGAAGGAGTAGAGCCATTGTCCATTGTGGCTGGGTCATTACCCTCAGCAGCAGCAGGTCTTCGTGCTAACAAGGGTATGGGAGATATGGAGTTGTTACCCTTGAAAGCAGCAGGTGTTCACTCTATCGAAGGTGTGGGAATGATGAGCAAGGCATGGTCAGTGGTTTTCTCGCTTTTGTTAGGGTTTAGGTTTACTTGGGAAATGGAAGGTCTGGAAACTGCCATGAGTTGACAGGATCTGTCAATCAGACTTGCCTTAAGTAGTTTCTCTGGGCTTCATCTTGATGAAGTCCACAGTGCCCCCACCATTGTGAAACCGAAGGGCTGATCAGGACTTCTTGATGAAGGCATGAGTGCAAGATGGTGGCAGAGAATATCCAGGGTACACAAGAGAGAGATTGTGATGTGGTGCTGCAAGGCGATACCATGTTGAGGTTATCCTGTGACCCAGGAATTGGGGCGCAGTCACCCAGTGCAGGACTCTTGTATCCTGGAGGGGAGGCATAAGGCTGCCTAGCTGTATAGAAAGGGGGTGACTCTGTCTGCATGTAATGTATAATGTGGTTGCAAAGTGAGTATATTTGTTGTGAACACAACGCTATACAGAGTAAGGACAAACACAAGTAAATACAATGATTCTAGGTCACGCATGGAGTATATACTATCATGCCATTACAATATACCTCTAAAGAGTTCTTAGAGCTACTGGGCAAGGTGCAGGCTGCCGTACATACAGTATCCCCCTTCCCTTCATTACCATAAGGCTGACAGACCTGCAGATCATCCATCTGGACATGGAAGGGTACTCGAACCTTGAACACTGGGTTGCAGAGCTAGACATGCAGATTGAGGCTGACACATATCATTCAAGTGTGGTGTGCTGAGTTTCATAGGGTCGATGATAGTGATGCTCAGAGGGACTTGCTGCCTGTTAGGGATGTTGCGTGGAAGAGGAGGGAGGATAAGTGGATGGAGGAGAAGGTAGCTTTCTTCTTCCTTTGTGTAAGGACATGGAGGGACAGATGATGCTGAAGCCTATTGTGCAGGAGATCAAGATACAGAACCAAGTTGTCCTTTTGGACCTGCCTATAGAGTATGTGAGGTCTTCGTGGATTAGGCAATCATATGATTGGCTTGGTGTGAACTCTTCTTTGCTTGGGTTGAATTCAAAGCTGAGCATGCTGGAGAGTTCTTGGTACGAAATTGGGCTTCAGATGCAGGGAGTGTCATTTGCAGAGATGACGTGCATGTCAATGGTATGTCGAGGTTGTTCTGTGTACACAGACTTGTTCTGACATACATTTCAGTTGACCTGATTCATGGACAACACCCTGGAATGCCCCTTCACCCTAATCAAACATAAAAGACTACGTCGGCAAATGGCTCCAATTCCTCCCTCTGGGAGCTCAAGGCTGAATACATGTTCAACTGCCTTGAGGACTCACTTGCCAACTGGAAGCAGCTCCTCAATGAAGTCAAGAAAGCATGGTTGACATTCAATACATCTGATATGCAGAAATTGTTTGGTGTGTACATTATTGATTTTGAGCAGGTGCAGGTGAGGGTGAATGCGAAATATGATGTGTGGCAGAGGTATACTGGTATATAACACATGCACTCCTTAACTCTTATAACACATTTCAGTCTTTCTTTGAAGTCAAGCTGCCTTCTGCTAAGAAATGGTGTCTCTTCTCAACATCTACAAAAACCAATTGTCAGATCATCTCTCTTCTGCAATAAACACACTTATTGTAAACCGACATAGCTGCACCAACACAATGGAGATGGTGAACACCAGCCCAATGGTTGGTGACCCTCCAGAAGGGCAGTGGTGAATCTGAATGCTAGAGTTGGGGAATAAGAAGAGCACGAAAAGACTGTGATGTTCAGCAGCACTCTCATTTCCTTTCTTCTAGGAACACCAAGGGTTGATCCTCTGCTATGTTCTTTGCTTTGAAGTGCTGCATGGGGATGAGAGATCAGGGATGGAGTGGATGTGGGTGGGTAAGCACATACAGTATATGACCAGTTCCCAGTGCACCACCTCAGTCACAAGCAGGAGTGGCACCTCCTTTGCCCCCGACCTCCTCTTCCTCAGCTGGCCACACTGTTTCCCCCATGACCCCCACTTCCCCCTCCTGCTCTACCACTACCACCCAGTACTTTACCATCCCCCACATAATCCACATGGACTCCACTGGATTCCACTGGATTCCACTGGACTTCACTACATACTGGCAATATCCACAAAACTGGACTCCCAGCCCAAAACTGGACTCCACTGGACTCCACTGGACTGCAAGCACAAATCTGGACTGGACTGGACTGGACTGGACTGCAAATTACAAAACTGGACTCCACTGGACTCTCCCAACACAAAAAAAGAATTCCTGAACTTAGACTTCAAAACAAAAAATAAAATTGAAGTATATTTATTAATTAAATTAATTAATTATACTAAATTCTATGTTACAGAGAGGGGGGAGGGA